GCTGCAGGGCCAGGGGCACCCGTTGCCCTCCCGCAGGCTGCTCTGGACACCTACCAGGGCCACCCCTCCTGAATAGTTGTGCAGACACAGCTGCCCTGCAAAGGAGGCCCCCACGTGCTCTGGCCGCTCCCGGGACCTGCGACACACAGAAAGGCCCCAGGTCTCACCATGCTCTCACCGGCCAGCCGGCCGCGGGCAGGCTGCCGGGATCTGGGGTGCACAGCCCCCCGTCCCCTCGTCTTACACCAACAGGTAGGTGAGGTCATGCGGCCGCAGCGGGCGATGCAGGCTCTTCCACCGCAGGAACCTCTGCAGCAACTCGGGGGCTTCCCCTGCCGTCGCCATCTGGTCCTCATCCACCCACAGCTCCAGGGACGACAGGACGACAGTCACATTGAGAGGGGCAAACACCTGCCAGGGCAGCACAGGATGGGCCCAGTCACTGGGCACTGGGGCTGGGCGACCACTGGGAGGAGCAAAGCACCAACGCACAGAAAAACCATGCGCGGCAAACGACAACGCCCCACAATTACACCTCATCTGTCCAACACCTGTTCAGTCCCAGAGGGAGCCAGGCGGTTCAAAGTGGCTCCTCCCTGTCCATGGTAACGAGCCCTGCCAACTACTGGCCCCTGGCTTTCGAAAGAGCCTGGCCAGTGCTCAGCCCTAGAAATCAGGAGCAGGCCAGCCCCATTAGCTGTGCAACACCTGCAGGAGGCGCAGCTGCCCCCTGGCCCGGTGCAGACCCCTTCCCTCTGAGCTGCTCCAGCTCCGGGCACAGCAGCAGGTTTGCAGCAGACTCAGGACCAGAGCCCCTCAGGCCTGGCGCTCGGCCCCTGCTCCCAGGGCCGTGCTACCCCACAGCAACCCCTGCAGAGAGTGTTTCCCCCGTGAGTAGGCAAGGCCAAGGGGCAGCAACTCACACTGTTGACAAAGCCGAGGAGCTGCACGACCTTCTCCGTCACCACCTCCTTGTCCGAGCCCATGTAGTCGTACTGCGACACAGAACGCAGCGTGTCACCGCAGCACTGCGCTCCCCGGGGACCCGGCCCCACGGCAAGGGGTGCACTCAACCTTCACGCACGCCCAGAGATTGTCCTTGACATACCATGCCTTCCCCCAAGCCTCCCCCACATCTCTGCACCTCCGCAAAACAGACGGTGCAGGCACTGAATGGGGACGTTTCCAAACTGGCCACGGGCTCCATGGCCGGAAAGCCAGGCATCCCCCATGACCATGCCCCCAGGCAGCTGGCTCTCCAACACGAGCAGCTACACTTTTCCACTGAGGACAATCCCCTCAAAGCTTCAGTACTCACTAGAGCTTTAGCCACAACCACGTGCATTTCCACGTATCTGGGGGATTTGCTGAGGCCGTGCGTTGGCTAGAAAGGAAAACAAAAGATCTTCTCTGCTGCACACCCTGTGCTCACTCCTGACCATGCTCCTTGGGCAGGCTTGCCCCTGCTCACCTCCCACGCTACTTGGTGATGGCAGGACTCGCGAGAGGCCACGGAATCACAAACCTGCCAGCGACCCCAAGGGCTGGACTGCACTTGGCCCCATGGACACTTAGGACAGGATTTCATGATGGGCAACACAGAGAGGCCCAGTGCTTCCAGAGCTGAGGCTTCTTGAATAGCAACCCCCTACCCCGAGGCCAGAAAGCCCTGGAAGGCACAGGCCCTTCTCCATCTCTCCTAGTGCAGGGAGGATCCAGGTCTGATGCTCTCGTGCCACATTTCTGTGCAGTCACAGCCTGCTTTGCCCGCCTCACAAAGGCAAACCCTGGGCAGAAGGCCTCAAGCACCTCACCCACTTGGACTGGATTTCCCCCCTGCCCCGAGGCTGCCGCAGCCTTGTCCTGCCGTGGCTCCTCGTCGGGGTGGCTTGGTGCCCCACCAGGCATACCGCGCTTCTCACTGCGCTGCTCCCCAATCCTTGTTTTCCTGCGACGGACATGTTCTGCGCAGGCAGCCAGCAACCCGGAGCTGCCGTCTTCCAAGCACACACTTGTCCCACCCCAGCTGCCAGAGGGGGGCACCGGCACCCAGCTGCTGCAGGACATCCCACACCGCGGAGTGGGGTGGGAGACACAGGCTGAGGGAACTGGGCTGCAGCCTCAGGTACGGGGACTGCCATCGCAGTGGGGACTGTCCCCTGGCACCCGCGCTGTTCCTACAGACTGCAGCAGCCAAGTCTCCCCCCGAATGCTTCACACGGGTATCTGCAGAGCTGACTGGCTATGACACCTGCCCTCACCGAGTACATCACTTACTATATCGTCTCTTTCTGCGTCTGGCTGAAGCACGACTCCTCCGTCCCCTGAAAGAGTGTCATTCTCCACAAAGATCCGACTCTCAACGTCCTCATTCCAGGTCCGATACATCAGGTGCTGGAACCCAGGTGCCGAGTCCAAGGGCTCGATGCCATAGGTGATGTTCTCCACCTGCAGCACCCCCCTGAGAGGGGAGAGGTAATCACAAGTGAGCAGCGAGAAACAGTAGCCCGTTGCGTGTGAACCACGCAACGAGGGCACTCAGGTAGAGGAGAGGCACCTACCTCAGTCCGGCGCAGGTGCTGAGAGTCGCAACCGAACTGAGGAAGCCAGCAACGTATCCTCTGTAGAAGCAGTCACGCTGGAGGGAAAAACCAGAAAAACACCAGGGGCTTCTGCATTGGGCAGGAGAGATCTCCAATGAAGAGCCCCAAGCAGGACGCAAAGATGAGGACTCTCGTTGCTGAGGCTGTGCCATCACTGCCATCCCAAGGGAGGAAAACCAACCCCTGGGATCACGGGAGCAGTTTGCACATGAAACCTTCATGTGCTCTGCTTTTCTCTGCCTTGCACCGCTTGGCTGACCTGCACCCTTAAACACCTCAACCTGCGGCACACATCTCCCAGTCTGAGCACCTCCGCATGTTTTGTGGGCCAACGGTCTCGGCCCCCTGCCAAAAACCCCTGGGCCACCAGGGAATCTTTGTCCACACAGATTCCAGGAGAAACAGACTTCGGGGGGGAGCCAGGGAGCTCCACAGCCTCAGCAAGGCTGGCTGCCCATATCCTCGAGCCTTGGACATGGCTACCATTTGCTCTTTAAGGGCGCTCAGCCATGGCCATGGACATTGTCCTGTGTATTACTAAGCCACCCATTTTAGGGCTGGGAAAGCGGGGCTTGCCAGCAGCCAGACGCTCCCCACTTGCCAAGAAGTTTGAGGCAGGAAGGGCTCCAGAAACACCGATCGCCCTTCCCTTCCAGCCCATCGCTGTGGACTCTGCCCCCAAGGACTGTGACAAGAGAGGCCGGCAGTTGTGCCGGGTCAGATCTTTCCACCCAGTGAGCACAGGACTCCCCGGGGACCACAGTCCCCTGCTCCACGGCGCCCTGTTGAGGCAGAAAAGGGCAAAATCGCTTTGCTCTGCATTCCCCAGCGCCTCGTCTGATTGGTGCCGACTCCCACGGCGCGTTCCCATGCGTCCCTGAGGAAGCGCTTGGCACGGTCAGTCAAGCGTCAGCAGCACACAGAAAAGTGCCAGGCACTTTCCAGGAGAAAAGATTCCCGCACTGTTTATCGAGAGGAGGAAAGACCCCAAGGACCCCTTCTGACAAACCCGAGTTGCAGCTGGGCGCAGTCATCACCTCTTACCTTAATAGTTGGGATTTCAGCGTGCACGGCACCTTGTCTGCTGTAAGTATACACCCTGAAATCGCTGGGTAAAAACACTCTGCAAAGGGGGAGGGGGAGAAAATGAGGAAAACGGAAGAAAAACCCCTTGACCTCCCAAAGCAACTATTCCTGAAATCGTTATTCCTACCCACTCCTGACATTTGTGCTAGCTGGGAGGCAGCCACAAACCCTTCAGAGGAGTCCACCTTCTCCCCCTATCTGCGGGGCAGTTTCTGTAGCCTCGGACCCCTGGGGCACACTCAGCCTCCACACTAGATCGCGTTCAGGAGCAGACCGGGCTGAGATGCGTCCTACAGATGAGGGGGCCCACCGGGAGTGCAGCCACAGTCACTTGAACGGCTTTGGTCCCCGCTACCCTGACGGCACAAACCTCTGACTTGAAGCCCCAGAGTCACGGGCCCGGCAGGCAGGTTCCCACACTGAGCCATTTTGCTGCCCGGGGACCCGGGGCCTTGTCAGCCTGGGCGGCTGGTGGCAGAGCGCGTTTCGGCCCATGATGGACCCGAGGGCATCGGGCAGCACCTCCTCCCTGCGACGGGCTTGCGGGGACCATGGAGGGACCAGCCAGGGGCAAGAGACCCCGCCACTTACTGCTGCTGCAGGTGAACGGTGTAGGGCTTCCCTTCTATTGTAAGCACATAGGAGATCTTCTACAGCAGCCCGGAGGTCAGAAAAAAGGCAGATTACTACCCGAGCGTTTTTCACCGCACAATACATCTGCAACTCACGGTTGCAGCCTTCATTCAACAGCACGCAGTAACCACATACACCCCGAGTGGTGCTGGGAAGCCAAGGGCCAACGTGGCTGGGAGGTGCCAGCTCAGCTCCCAAAGGGCTTGCTACCGGGGGTCTTCCAGAGCTGTGCTCTGCACAGCGCAGGTCAGTCGTGCACTGCGTCCCTTGGCATGCGGTTCTGCCGTTCCTTCGCGCTAGCGGCGTCAGCGACGAAGGGCAGAAAGCCCGAAGAATAAAAATGTCCTAGCGGCGCACGGGTGCTGCCGCGACCACTCGGTCCAACAAGCAGCGGTCTGAAAGTCACACGCGCACAGTACGCGTGTGCCGACACGCAGCCCTGCGCCGAGGGCCACGCTCCATCCCCGTCTCCCATCTGGGACCCGAGCCACCCCGATGGGTTTTACAGGCGCGCCCCCCACGAGCGCTCACGCTCTCGTTGTCCCAGATGCACCGGACAGCTAAGGGCTCGGCCGCAAATCTCCCCGCAAGGCGCGGGAACGCCCACAGCAGCACCAGGCCGCTGGCCCCGGCCAGCCCGTCCCGGGGCATCCCCGGCCTGGCACCTCCCTCCTCTGCCCCGTTTCCCGTCGCAGAAGGCCCCTGCGGGCATCTGCCCCCCGCCGGCTGGGCGCAGGACCACCCCAGGGGCCCATCCCCTTGCGATGGCAGCGCCGGGCAGGCCGGGACCACCTCCCCGGCGGGCGGTACCGGGGCTCCGGGGGGCGCCGAGGAGAGCAGCCAGGGCACCAGGATGTGCAGGGCGCTCCGCGGCGCGGCGCCGAGGCGGGCGGCCAGGA